CTGAAAAGTCACTTTCCAACGATCCCAGATATCTTTTGTACTCAAACCAAAAAGACACAGAAGCCCCACTTCTAGTGTACATTTGAGTTCACCTTGGCTGGTGCAGGGGTGATACACCAGATATCTCCCTTGTGTCACCCTAAGTCCAGGCTGAAGAGCATGTGATGTTTACACCTTTTCATGAACCATTTATAGCTGTGTTACTCATAGTCACCGTGGCCCCGCATACATCATTTAGGAAATGGACTCCACTCAACACTTGTCTGCATTTGGTCCTTTAACCAGACACTCAGGGGGTGCTACAATGATTACTTCCTCCCATGTGGTGCTAAATCATAGAGCCATAAACACAGTGACACTCAAAAGTAGTCAAGGGAAAGGCCAGGCTTCATGTTCTGTCCGATTCCACATGCAATGGCCGACCATGTACCCAGAGCAAACTTGTTGAAGCTTTCACGTTTGTTAGAAGGCATTTGTGAAATCCTCTAGTTTATGAAGCACATTCACACACACTGTCCCATGCAGTCATCATGACCACACAATGAGGAAAGCAGTGTAAGCTACAACTAAGGCTCCTATGGAACCTCACCCACCAAGGTCAAGAGACAGGCAGTGCACAGGCTGGAATCACACCCAGGCAACTCCAAACTCAAAACTCTTTCTTTTATCCCAACCACTTATAAAGTGAAAGAAGCAAAACTCTTAGCAAAAACTTTTTTCTTAAACTATGAATCATCTACCAAAATTGGCTTTTGTGGATCATTAAGCCTTTGGTGGCTCAAGTAAAAATTGAAATGTTTCAACCAACATCTGGTAAAAGCAGGAAAGATAAGAAAGTCACAAAGAGCAAGACTGGTTTTTTTTAAAATTCTGTACCTGAAATCAAGATTCAAGTAGTGTATGTGCCACATGTGGAGAATTTATGTCACCTTAAGGCAAGGCAAATTGTGTGTCCAGGTCAAATTTCATTAAAATAAGTTCAGAGGGTTTTTTTAATCCTATTATATTGAGAATTTGTTGTTTGGGATATAAAGTCAGAGCCAGGGGACAGCGGCTGAGACAACATTGAATTTGGGGAGATGCTGGTAGAGAAAGTGCAATCCAAGGCCACTGGCAGCTCCTGGTTTTGTGGTCAATTCTCTCCAACCATCAGAACACACACGTCCCTGTTTCTAAAGGGACCAGTGATTTCACTGGAGAAACACTAACCCAAGACTTTCCTAGCACGGAAGAGCTCAATAACATCCAGAGGTAGACAAAGTTATAAACCAGTTGAATAGACTGCTGTCTTAACCGAGAGGTTCTCAGAATTTCCGAAGATAGTGAAACCCTTCTATGTAGTTTAGGCCTGAGTATTTGAGGCCTAGAGACAGTGGTACTTACATCAGAAATAGTCAGCATTCTCTTAGAACTGCTAAGCAATGGTCTATGTATGGCAGCTAGGGGTGCTGAAACATCCAAATGGAAAATCAATTTTTTGATGTAAAATTAACAGAAC